CTTCCCACTCCCTTCCTCTCTCCCCTTCCCGCTCCCTCTCTCTCCCCTTCCCGCTCCCTCTCTCTCCCCTTCCCGCTCCCTCTCTCTCTCTCCCCCTCTCCCTGTCTCTCCCATTCCTCCCTCGCTCCCTATCTCTCCCCCTCTCTCCTCTCCCTGTCTCTCCCTCTCCCCCTCCCTCTTGTTCCCTCGCTCACTTCCCTCTCTTCTCATTCCCTCTCTCTCCCCCCTCCCCTCTCTCCTCCCTCTGTGGGGAGGCAAATTAACTCTGACTCGAGAAGAAACCTTGTACATCCCTTCCTCCCAATAGGAGGAGAAAAACTGTGCTCTCAACGTAGCAATCGACCGTGACTCTGAGTTAGACAATGCCTATTGTCGCTCCCGTGTTCGCTCAGGAGGATGCAGTGTGTTCACACACGATCAACATGAGTAACTCCCAAGGTGACCCGGCATCTGCAAAGTCTCTAGTTTAATACTTTCCATTATTTAACTTCGGCACCTTTCATGCTGTTTCATCTCACTACCCAGGAGTACACCAGGTTTGACCAATTGTCTTTTCTAACTGTAAGGCTGGGTTGCATACCCGCCGACCGCTAACCATTTTGCAGCTGACCAGCAGGGCCGACCGGTTGGAGGTCTGCTGACCAGTCAGAAAACAGCCATCCGCTGGCGTTTTTTCAAATCTGAGTTGGGGGCTTTACTGCGCGTGGTGCCAACCAGCCAACCGGTCTGCTGGTCGGCAGCCAACCAGTCAAGAGGTGCTGACCGTCGGGGTATGCAACACTGCTGTAAGGGAATCTGTAAGAGGATCTCATCATTGGAATGTAACTGGGGGGTAGTGTCAGCGTCAGCAGAGGTCTGAGAGGGTGAGTGTGGCATACTGCGCAGCGACACGGGCCTGCAGGGTCTGACCAGACAGAAATTCAGGGCCCGACAGGCCCTGTGTCGTTTCAGCCTGAAAGCCCGAAAACGAGGGCCATTTGCAGGCCCTCATAAAGTCGACCTGCCCTGAAACTCAGGCACCCGACCAGGGTTTAGCACAGGCCATTTTTGGGCCTGTTTCAAGAACCTTTGTTTGAACTTCAACGCCAGGGTCTGGCACGTTTTGGCATTGGCAAGAGCAGCCTCCCGGACGGGCCAGCACTACATAGAACTGGCCCGCCCTGCAGGCCGCAGGTAGTTGATAGGGACTTCCCATGCAGTTCACGGGCACTTCACGTGCAGGAGGCAGGAGGCAGTCTTCGGGATTCGGCAGCAGCACTCTGGTAGAGCGCTGCAGTAGTAGTAGTAGCGTTAGCAGTAGTCTTCAGCGCTGGGCGCTATTAGGAGCTAGAGTAGCGTTGGAGAGAGAGAGGGAGATGGTTGGCGGAGGCCAGGGAGACTTACCTGTGGCGCCATAGAACCAGCTTCGTCTTCGATGTACCTGCAACAAGACGCCACCTTCACAGGTTAGTACCGGACTACGAGAGAGAGAGAGAGAGAGAGAGAGAGGGAGAGAGAGAGTTCTTCTTCTTCCTCTTGTAAGTCCATCATCTCTCCCTCACCCTCTCGCTACCTAACTTCTCACTATCTGCAGACTACGCGAGAGAAAAAGAGATTGGTGACTTTGGGACTTGACGACATTTGGATCCAGACTCTACATTGGGATTGAGACGATGAACGAGGGATTATTTGGGACCTGTACCGAAGACTTGGTGTTGACGACATTCCCATCTTCCCCTCTTCTTCGTCTAGTCCCCCTCCTCTTCGTCTGTGTATGTTTGGGACTGGCGCATTCTTCCTGTGTAAGCGCCAGGTCCCTTCACACCATGCGACGATGATGATGTATGTTTGGTCTGCATTGCGGCATTGATTGGTCGGATCATTGGTATATTAGCCTTCCGCTGCGCCATCTTGTAGTATGTGAGAGAGGTCGGTTCTTGTTCTGGTCTGCACCTTTATGGTATGTAACAGTGAGGGAGGCGTAGTTGGGCCAGCGGGTCAGTTGTACTTCCCCTACGTCACCGGGCCACGTAGGCGGAGCCGCGGAAGTGCATATTGTACCGGCGCTCCTATTTCCCTTCAGGCAGAACCCCTTGATGTGAGCCACTTCTCACCACAGCTATGTTGGTTCTCCTTCACCCGTAAACCATGCTGGACTGTCACCAGCTTGAAATCCTCGTCTCGTGACGTAAACAAAAGAAGTAATTGGTTCTTACCATACTTGCGGCGCACGTGCGGCGCAGAGCACAACGCGCAGGCGGCGCCCGCACGACGTGCGCCGCATGCCTGAAAATAGGGGTCCAAAAAAAAAAAAAGTCGTGGGGTGGCTTGCAGGTGGTCGGGGGGGTCTCCAGAAAAACGATACCGGGGCCGCGCAAATTTTTTTTTGGGCCGCGCCGAGGCCCGGGATTTTTTTTTATTATCCAACGTTCGAATTCGAACACTGGGGGATGTAGTGTCCCGCCCAGGCCCCTTCCCAACCACCACACAACAGTTCAGTGTCCACCCGGTTGTTCTCGCGCCGCCGTCGACCTCCTACACACGCAGGTGGCACGACACACGCAGGTGGCGCGATCCTCCATCGCCGGGAACAGCCACACAGCGGGCAGCAGGCAGCAGCGGCAGGCGGCAGCAGGCAGCGGGAGCACGGGCGGTCGGCAGCAACCTTCGCCCAAAGCACAACGCCCCTTGGGACCCCCCCCCCCCCCCCCCCCCCCGAAAAAAAAAAAAAAACGCGCATCCAGTGCACCTGCCCCAGCCCAACCTGCATGTGTGCACGCAGCGCATGGGCGCATGCCTGCGCGAGCGTGCGCATGTGCGCTTCGCCCGGCACATAGCGCAGCGCACACACGCATGTGCAGCGCAGCGCGCACCGGTGCTGTGCACCGCAAGTATGGTTCTTACCAGCCTGCGCCGGGGGTGTTAGGAGCTCGCCTACTGCTCCCCGCACAGAGCAGAGATAGGTAGACGTAGTCTCATAACCTTAGGATAGCTTAGTCCTGGCTGGTGAATTTAAACCGCTAGTACATGGCCCCAGCCTTGCAGAAAGTTTTTGTCACCACAGCCCGGGCCGGGTGTTAGGAGCTCGCCTGCTGCTCCCCGCACAGAGCAGAGATAGGTAGACGTAGACCCATATTCTTAGGAGAGCTTAGTCCTGGCTGGTGAATTTAAACCGCTAGTACA